TTGCTCCGCCCCCCAGGTGCAGTTCCGCAGCGGCAGGGTCGGCGTCCCTGGCAGCAACGTCAGCCTGAAGTACCTCGCGGGCGATGAGGCCGACAAGGCCAGATTCTCACCGACGCCCTTCTCGACGCCCTCCTCCGCGCTCTCTTCATTTTCGCCCCTGCCTCGACGCCCCCTCCGCCCCCTGCTGCCTCGTTGTGCCCGATCGCTCCGAGGCCAGGGCCATCGCGGAGGCGGAGGAGCTGGTCAGGAAGGAGCTCGCCGCCAGGGCGCGCGGCGAGCAATTCGCGCTACGACTCTTCAACTCTCCAGGCCAACGGGGCGGCCTCGGGATAACAAAAAGGTCGTGGCGGATATGCCGCCTCGTGGCGGATATGCCGCCTTGTAGCGCAGCCTTCTCGCCTTCCAACTCGTGGCGGACATGCCGCCCCCGCCCCACCCCTTTGCGCTCCTCCGCCCTTCAGGCGGTCATGCCGCCGCCCCCCTCCCCTACTCGGCCCACTCCGCGCCCCCGCGCCACGTCCCTGCGCCCCCCTCTCCGCTGTCAGGCACTGGATCCCACGCCAACTAACGTCGGGGAGACGCCCACAGCTCGAACGGCGAAGGCGTTCACCCAGAATGGCATGGGCGCGCGCGAAGGCACCGACGTTGCCACCGCCCGTTCAACGACGAAAACAAGTGAACCAAGACCTGCACATTCAAAGGGACGCCAGTTCACTTATATTTCTGGTCCCCAATGCCACCCTCACTCTGCCCCCTCCCCCGAGACCCCGTCGCAAGAACCAGCGGGGCCCTTCTGAGAGGCCCCCGAGGGCTCGAGGAGCTCCAAGACTTCAATGGGTCCATGGGCAACCCCCTCCCCCTCCTCCCGAAGTCTCGCATCCGCGTCCGATTCCATTTCGGTTCAAGCCCGCGGCCCGCGGGTGCCCGCGAGCCCGCGCGGGGTCGGCCCCCCCCTTTCGCGCCGACGCGTGGGCTGGGGCCCGCGCGCCGAGGCTGCGCCGCAGCCACCGCGTCGCGCTCGGCGCCTCGCACTGCGGCCGCGGCCCAGGCAGACAGCGACAGCGCGTTCGACGCGTTGGAGGCAGCTGCATCGCCAAAACAAGTGGCCCCGCGTGCGGTAGCCAGGGACGCGCGCATCGCGCGCGTAACTGGCTGGCCGCTCTCGGTCGAACTGTTTTGGCGATTCGGCGCAGGAGATGTTCGGGCCAGCGATGCAGTTGCTCTCCGACCTTGCGGGCGTGGACAACCACGCAGGGGATCGGTCTTCCTCCGCCAGCGGCAGTCGGCCAGCCAGCGCGCCCACGTTGGCGGCGCAGCCAGCGCGATCGCGCAGCCCGCGCCACCCGCGGGCACCGTCGACGCCGCCGCGCAGGCGGGGGCCGACGTCACCGCCGCGGGACCCGCGGCAGCGGCCGTTCCCGCCCTCGGCTCTCGTGAAGGAGCTCGCGTCGCACATGCGGGGCGCGACGCCTGTGGTGGAAGAGCCCCCCGAGGCGGTGGAGGCGCATCCCAGCGCGGTGGAGGCGTTCAGGACGCAGCTGCGAGCCTGGCTGAGCGACCCCGGTGGGAATCCCATCGACTGGCGGTCGGAGAACGTGCTCGCCGTGCTCAAGGAGTACCAGATGAAGTACGACTACAAGAAGTTCCGCGACCGCGGCCCGCCTGGCCCCGCCATGGGCGGGCCGCAGACGTGGCAGGGCCAGGCGTGGCGCGCCAATGCGAAGCGCTGGGGGAACCGAGGTGGCGCAAAGCGCGAGATGTACGCGAAGCTGCACTGCAACAAGGCAGCGCCGCGGGTGCGCGAGGCGCACGTCCCCAAGCCTCAGCTGATGCATCGGGAGCCCATGGCGCCGAACTTGCCCAAGACGATGCCTCAGCAGGCGCCGTGGAGGACTGCAATATGAACCCTCCAGTTCCGCCTCCGCCGCCGAAGACCATGGGGCCGCCGCCGCCGAAGACCAGGCAGCCGCCAGCAGGGAAGCCCAGCATGGCGCAGCCGAGGGCAGGGCGTCGGCTGCAGCCGACAAGCAAGATGGCACCACCGCCAGCGAAGCCGCGCCCGCCCGCCCGCCGAGATGTCTTCTTGTAGGGTGATCGCGTGGACCTGCAAGCGGGCTGGGGTGCATAGCTTCCGTAATTCGAGCGCGGATAGTTGCAGCTATCCGCGCTGGCGCGTCATGACGCGCCGCCTCTCCCCGCCTCGTCTCATCTCATCTCTCCTCCCCTCTCTTCGTTGCCGATCCATCTCATTGGCGGACGCGCCGCCTCCCCCCGCCTGGCGGACAACCGCCGTTCAGATACGAGCATCGGCGCATCGGGTTTGTTCTATGCGGTTGGAAAAAAACACCAGTCCTTCCCTGAGCCACCCATTGGCGGCTAAACCGCCCTGAAGCCTCCATTGGCGGCCACGACGCCCATTGGCGGCTAAACCGCCCATTGGCGGCCACGCCGCCCTGAGCCCTCCATTGGCGGCTAAACCGCCGCCGCCGCCTGCTGGCATCCCGAAATGTGCGATGCCACCGCGACTCTTACACATGTATGTTTTTGTTGTTGGGACGCTGTATCGGCTCGAATCTAGGCGCGCACAGGCTCGCGCCCCACGCCGCCCCTGCGCTAGCCGTGCACTTCTCGCCCTGCCGCCATGGCAGGCCAGCAGGGCGAGAAGACCGTCATGTTCGGCTTCAAGTGCCCATAGAGCAGCAGCTGCAAAAGGGGCGGCAAGTGGTTCCAGGGAGAGACAGTGGAGGCGGCCAGGAACAAGCTGGTGAACCACCTTCGCGTGTCGCCGTACCACGACTTGAGCGAGGACGAAGCGGAGGTAGCTGCTGTCGCACTCGAGCCCGACTCGTGGGAAGTCGACCTCGCGGAGTGGCGCCAATGGGAGGAGGAGAAGGCCAACTGGGGCTCCGCCAAAAGGCGCAAGGGGGCGCCGAAGGTCGAGCTGGCGCCAATCCCTCCACAATCCCGCGTGGAGCGCTCGCACCAGCTGAAGGACGCGTTCTCGGAGGGCAGCGGATCGTCAGGCGCAGCTTCGTCAGCCACGGCGGGCATGAGGATGTCCACGGCGTTGGCCAGCAGATGTCGCCCGATAGCATCGTGGTGCTCAACGGCACCCAGTGCCAGGCTGTGCTCGACTCGTTGCGCCGCGCGCGTACTGCGACGCAGATGTGCGCCCAGATAGCGGAGCGCGCGGTGAACGCTTTCCGCCAAGAGGAGCAATGCATCGCCGAGTGCGAGGACGTGCTCGCGAGCTGGCTGGTGCGCAACGCGACCTCGTAGGTGCAGGTGCACGGCTGGCAGCACTGATGTCGCCTCAGCATCAGTAGCCTCATTCGCGCAGGCGGCGCGACGCGTCGGCCCTACACGCCCCCCTCCCACTCCTCCAACGCAATTTCAATCCACACCCCTGTGTCAGAACAAATTAGGACACCCCCACACACTCCATCCGCACTCAATTCGTGAAGGCCGCCACGCCGAGGTGAATTTTGGCCACGCAGGCGGCCGAGTAGCCGCCCCCCAATGCAAGGCGATATGGGGGCGAGTGGACGAGCGGAGCGGGAGGAAGGTGAGGGAACTTCGGCGGATAAGACAGGTGGGCGGTTGGATGGGATTTGGCAAAAGGGCTGGGTGGAGAAAACTGCATCCGCATAAGAATGAGTGCGGCTATTTTCTGGATGTGCTGCATCGCCATGTCCGCCCACCCCCCCATCGCCTTGCATATGATGACGCTCAGGCAGCGCGCCCCGATTGCGCGCGCTCGCCCGTCTCTTCGCTGCCGCTCAGGCAGCGCGCCTCGCTTCCGCGCTCGCCCGTCTTTTCGCTGCCGCTCAGGCAGCGGTTTGAAGCACGCGGCGCCGTCCGCGGTCGGTAGCGCAGGGCGCCGCTCCGCCCCTGCTGCTCCGCTTAACTAACTCGGCGGACGTGCCGCTACGCCGCCGCCATGCACTGGCAAAAAAAAGTTGGCTGTTATCATATGTTAGCAGATGTTATCACGCGCCTGATAACACCTGATAACACCTGATAACACCTGATAACACCTGATAACATGTTATCAGGTGTTATCATGTGTTAGCATGGTGTTATCACACGCCTGATAACATATGATAACATATGATAGCATGATGTCAATTTTGTGTGGTTGTCATGTTGCGCGCAATTCATTTCAGTATCCGTATCACCTCGTGCGTCCGCCACGCTTCGAGCGGCTAGTCCGCTGGCGGCCAATCCGCCTCCCTCGCCGCGCCCCTGCGCCCTCTCAAGCGGCGAGTCCGCTGGCGGATATGCCGCCCCCTTCATACCTCACTCCACCCCTCCCTCCACCTTTGAATCGGCTATTCCGCTGGCGGCTATCCCGCCTCACTTACCGCGCGTTTTCTTCGTCATCGCTTCGCGTCCAGCTCATCTTGGCATCAGGGCCGCGCGCGACGCGCGGCTTCTCGCGTGCCAAGGCGGTCACGCCGCCATGGCGGGGACGCCGCCCGCTGAAGATCACCAGCAGCATTCTCTGGCAGTGATGTTCGGAGCAGCCAGGCCGAAAAACAAGGGAGTGATGACCAAGGCGCCCGCAGCGAAGCCCCGTGGGAAAGCTAAGCTATCGGGGACGCAGATGACACTGACTGGACAGCTTGTGCCGCCGCTCGCATTGACCGACGCAGGGCCGCCGAAGGCACGCGGGAAAAGCAAAGGCAAGGGCAAAGGTAAGCACCCCGCAGCGTTGAGGACGGCTCGCAAAGCTGCGTCAGCCGCAGCTCCCGCCGAAGAACTGCCTCCTCAGGGCGCAG